AAAAAAAAAAAAAAGTTGTTTTTTTGGGTGGAATTCAATTGGTCTTTTTGAGTGGTTGGGGCGTAGATTTCCGGTTGCGTTTTCTTTTTGATGGTTTGAGTGGGTTTGTGCTTTAGTATTAGGGTTGGTGATGTTAATTAGTGTTAATTTGGGTGTGAGGTTAACTAGAGTTAAGTAGGGTGTGACGTTGCAGGCTAACGGGTGCTCAGCCGCGGTGGGGTTAATCCAGGGCGGAGAGCCTGGCTCATCCCTGCCGGCCGTGATTATTGATGTGAGGGACGCTGGGCCCGTTTTCCAGCCTGTGATTACATGATATACTCTTTTTTGAGTCAAAAATAAAATAAAGGAATCCTGACATTTTCCCAAAAAAAAACAAACAAATCCACTACTAACCACATGCACAACAGACAAAAAATATGATGATGCACAACAGACAACACAACAGACAAAATATGATACGTGTAATTTTACTTTCTTTTTTGGGGTAAATTCGGCGCAGTCACGAAAACAGTTTGTAATTGCACTTCAGGCAATCCGGGAATACAACACACCCCATGCGACCCCACCGGACTGAAACGTAGGTCATATACATTCACCATTACGGGCCCCTTTTTTTTTTTTTTTTTTTTGGCGTATGATCCAGGCACTCTGGCCTGGTTCATACACGGCTGCTTTGAATTATAAAAGCCCAAAAACGGGTCCGGCATCCCTCACATCGTAGAATAGAAAGAAAAAAAAAAAAAAAAAAAAAAAAAAAAAAAAAAAAAAAAAAAAAAAAAAAAAAAAAAAAAAAAAAAAGACATAGTAGAATAGGCTCAACAAAACGAACATAAGAAAAAGAATGTGCCAAAACCCTAAGTACGCAACGCTAGAAACAAAATCGTCCATCCCTTTTGCCTCAAGGGCAATTACAAACTCAAACCCTGACTGTGCCGTAGTTTTTCTTCTTTTCTTTTTCCTTCTTTTCTTTTTTCTTTTTTTCATCTTCCCAAAAGATCGTTTGGGCATGCCTCATCCAGCTTTGCGACTCCCGCTAACCTTATCAAAGCCTGCCCTCATAACCAAAGGTTGGTTCTCTGGGAGGAATCTTCCCACAAGGGCAAGCGCTTCTTTTTTTTTTTTTTTTTTTTTTTTTTTTTTTCATCAACCGGGAACCAGGCCCGGTGTCCCATTATATTTTCAAAGCCAGGAAGCGGGCCTGGTGTCCCTCACATCAGCTGGGCAGTCCCTCACATCACGCCCACACCGCCACACACAAAAATGCAAAAGGCGATCAAGCCCTTCTGTTGACCCCACCAAACCAAACCATGGGTTTGGTGCAGGGCCTGTCTCTTATACACATCTAGATGTGTATAAGAGACAGGTGTCACACATACCAGTATGCGAAACCTGTCAGGGACTTTATCCCCTGGCTTTGATACGGAATCAGAAGCTGAGGACTCACGGGAAGATGAGAGACGCATGTGCATCGACGACCGCCGGCTTCCGGGAGAGTGACGCTAGAGCCTAGTAGCTGTGACTGGTATCGCCCACCGTCGTTGACAACGGGCTTTAAGCTGCGATCGGCGTCGCTTTGTGTTGCAGATGCTCCTACTTCGGGTGTGGTGTAGTTTGCAAACTCTTCATCCTTACTTGCTTCTTTTGGCTTGTACAGATTATGAGGGTTGATTAGTTTAATTAGTTTACGATTGGTGTGTGTAGTGGGTATATGGTTTTCCTTTTTTTTTTTTTCCTTACGAGCTAGTTAGCGTTCATTCATTCCATGACTGTTTAGATGTACCAGCACCGCTAGCACTCGGGTGTTCTTAAAAAAAAAAAAAAAAAGAAAAAAAAAAAAAAAAAATCCTCCTTGAAACTCAAGGTATTGCCTTGGAGCC